CCTCCTCCTCCTCCTCCTCCTCCTCCTCCTCCTCACCTTACTCCCATCTAGAACTGATGAAGTTACCTACTTGGGTCATGAAACACCTGCAAGAAACTTCACTTTTTAAAATCATGTCTGTCTATCAGAAGCTCATATTTTCAAATGCTGTTCCAGTGTGTCCATGAGGCTGGTAGGCTGCTTAGAATATTCTACTTTTGTAGAAAAGTTCATATTTTATGAAGAATGAAAACTCGCATCATTCGCATCCGTTTATGGAAACTGAAGACCATCTGCGGGTCCCAGGTGTGCAAATCCAGTCTTAAAACATCCATGCCTGGGGTCATAAACCAGACAGCACCATTCCTTGTGGAGGGCCCAATTCTACCTATCTGGCTATATCTTCCTTTTTTTTTTTCTAGCCAGATGGGTTGACATCTAATCAAAGCTCTGACTCATAGCGGCATCTTTGTTGTTTTCTCTAGAATCTATTTGGAACCCAGAAGCTTTCTTGCGGGGGAGTAAAGTCTCAGTGATGGTGGCTTCCTGGTTTGATATTTTTATTTGGAATAAACTTATCCCGAAATAATCAGGTGGAGAAATGACGCTACCAAGTAGTAAGACAGATACCCACAAATCCATGTTAATTCTTGGCTATGACCCAGTAACATAGAGATGTCGAAAGTAAAACAAACCAAGAATGGAGCTGGGGCTCTTTAGAAATAGACAGCCACAGATGCTAGAAGAGCTTGTTTTATTTGTCAGACTAAATATGGGCCCAGCAAGGAAATCCTGCTGAATTATAAATAAGCAAAACCTTCTTGTGAAGTTTAATGAAGACCGTTGCAGGAGGAAAGTCAAAGGAAACAACAAAGGAAAGTTAATGATTCTGTTGAATGCAACATTTGTAGACGACCAATTTTCTGGCAAAGGGTTGATCTATACCAGAATCCTGCTCTGAGAAAAGAAATAGATATATTGCTTCCCTTTAATTGAGGCTGGATGGAAAGGTTGGGGAAAAAAAAAAACCTTTCCGTTGTTATAAGAAGGTTGCCATAATTGGCAGCAATGAATATTGATCCGCGTGGCAAAGAAATAGGTATGGAGAATGTCTTCCCTGCAGTGGAATGGCTTGCCTACGGAAGCTGTGGGTGATTCATCACTGGAGGTTTTAAAGAAGAAAATGGAAAGGAAATTTGTCTGAAATTGTATAGGGTCTCCTGCTTGAGTAGGGGGTTGGACTAGAACAGTAGTCACCAACCACTGGGCCCGGAACCACTGGTGGTCCATGGGAAAATTTTGGTGGCCCACAGAGAAATGTCACCCCCAAAGCAATTAATCCAGGCTGCACAGGATTCTCTCTCTCTCTCTCCCTCCCTCCCTCCCTCTCTCTCTCTCTCTCTCTCTCTCTCTCTCTCATGAATGCTTGCAGGAACTAGGTATGTCTTAGTCTGATCAAAAGAAGGACTAGGGGAGACATGATAGCAGACTTTCAATATCTCAGGGGCTGCCCCAAAGAAGAGGGAGTCAAGCTATTCTCCAAAGCACCTGAAGGCAAGACAAGTAGCAATGGGTGGAAACTAATCAAGGAGAGAAGCAACTTAGAACTAAGGAGGAATTTCCTGACAGTGAGAACAATTAACCAGTGGAACAACCTGCCTCCAGAAGTTGTGGCTGCTCCAAACACTGGAAGTTTTTAAAAAGATGTTAGATAACCATTTGTCTGAAGTGGTGTAGGGTTTCCTGCCTAAGCAGGAGGTTGGACTAGAAGACCTCCAAGGTCCCTTCCAACTCTAAGTCCCTTTTCTAACTATTAGGTATCCTCATCACCTTGGATTATTTATAAAAATAATCAAGGCAGGATATCCATTAAAAAAAATCAAGGCAAGCTATTCTCAGCCTCCCTGTGCGACATCCTAGCTTTGCAATGTTCCTCTGGTCTCTTTAGGTCCTTCTCACTGGAAGGAGATCGCATCAGGGTGTGGCGGACAGAACCAGTCGCCCATTAACATCGATAGAAGAAAAGTGAGACGGGACTGGAGCTTGGATGAGATTCTGTTTGAAGGCTACGACCAGGCGCCTCCAGGCAGATGGAGACTAATGAACAACGGCGATGAAGGTGAGCCCATGAAGCTGGGACTTTTTCTGCAGGTGTGTCATGCCCTTGTTGGAGTCTGATTCTGAGGGGGAGATTGAGCAACTGACAGGGAGTGGGAATGTGGCTCTGGTGGCTGTGGAAGAAACGGGAGAAGGATACAGTCTGGCTGGGCATTCAGAGGAAGACCCAGGGCCATCCCCTCTTCATCCTAGGGCACGCAGGGAGGAACGGAGAAGGGAGCAACATGGCTTACAGGGGAGAAAAGGGCCCTGATCCCCTTCATTAGCTGCAGCTGGGAGAACAGGATATAAGTGGGGTGTTTTACACAGCTTCTTGCTGGAAGCAAAGTGTGCATTATCTTTGTCGAGGCTTATCTGGGTTTTGGTGTCCTCCCAACTGTGGTTGCTGCGTTATCTTGTGGAAGTCTGCAATTTATCATCCTGGCCTGCCATGTTAATAACTTCAGTGTGGTTTGTGTTGGTTTTGTTTTTTTATTTCTAATTATCTTTACTTTTGGTTTGGGCTGCATTTACTCTCTTTGTAGACTCTTTTTGGAAGAGTTTGATATCCAGCTGAGGATAATTGGACATTGGGGCCCAAGTTGGAGGCATTAAAGGGAATTTATTCTACTTTTGCGACTGTGTTATTTTTGTGTCACGCCCTGGTCATCACAAGGTGTTTATCAAATCTTGAACCCAAAGCTTTCGGTTTCCATTCAGCAGCTGTATTGAAATGAGATTTTTGTTTTGAAGTGGGGCATAGAGTCAGGGTGCCCTAGAGCCAGGTTTGACCATTCAGTTTCTCCTGTCCCTGCCATCCATTATCGGGCACATCCAGATTTCTGACTTATAGCTTCTCTATTTTTTTTTCCTCCCTGTGCTGTCCAGCCAGTGTATGGGAATTGGATAGTTAATTATCAATTGTGAGCTGTCCCCTTAAGGGAATGCATCATGGTAAATGTAGTTAAGGTATCCTGGGAAATATAGTCCATGTTAATGTGACCACATTTGTAATCCTGATTGGTCACTAAATTGACCCTCGATGGGTTGGGGGAGGTTTCTTCACTCTTGTCTAAACTCACGGACTCATGGTAACTACCACTACGAAATGGGAGGAAAGGGATAAGGAGATAACCATCTTTTTACCGACAAGACAGATCTGACACTCCCAGAAGGCTGGAAGTGGTGGAGAAGCTTGGTTAGCTCCCAGATTAGTAGACTGGCCCTTCTTTGCCTCTGAAACTGTGTTCACAAGTTGACTTTCCCTGCAGTCAAAATGACCTTGGACGGAGCATCGGCTGCGGAACAAATCAACATCACCAGAGGAGGCCTGCGGGATACTTATCGGGCCTTGCAGTTCCACTTCCATTGGGGTGACCTCAAGAGGAATGGCTCAGAACACTACATTGATGGGATACAGTATCCCATGGAAGTAAGTCCAGCGTTGGGTTTTGATAGCAGGTTCTGCAGTATCTCAGGCGCAGCTGAAGCTATGCTGAAAAGCACCTGGTATGGCATGGCTTGTTTTTTGGATGGTGGTGTTCATTAAAGGATGGGGAATGGATAGGAGCAAAGGTGGGGGGGGGAAGGGGGGAGAGAAAGAGAGAAATGAAGAAGAAGGAGGAGGAGAATATACTGTGCTGCTTATGGTTAAACAAGCTTAGTGCAAAGTACATTCAGAAGACTTTTGGTGAATAAGTCTTATAGCTATCTATCATCGATCTATCATCTATCTTTCTATCTATCTATCATCTATCAATCAATCAATCAATCTATCTATCTATCTATCTATCTCTCTATATCTATCATCTATCTATCATCTATCACCTATCTTTCAATCAATCAATCTATCTATCTATTTATCTATCTATCATCTATCATCTATCTTTCTATCTCTATCATCTATCTATCATCAATCTATCATCTATCATCTCTATAATCTATCTTCTCTCTCTCTCTCTTTATCTATCTATCTATCTATCTATCTATCTAGTCTGTCTAGCATCTCTCTACCTCTCTCCGCTTCTATCTATCTATCTATCTATCTATTTGTCTGTCTGTCTGTCTTTCTGTCTATCTATCTATCATCTATCTATCTATCTATCTATCTATCTATCTATCTATCTATCATCTATCTATCTATCTATCTATCTAGTCTGTCTAGCATCTCTCTACCTCTCTCCGCTTCTATCTATCTATCTATCTATTTGTCTGTCTGTCTGTCTTTCTGTCTATCTATCTATCTATCTATCTATCTATCTATCTATCTATCTATCTATCTATCTATCTATCTAATCTATCTAATCTATCTATCTATCTATCCTCTATCATCTATCAATCAATCAACCAATCTATCTATCAACTATCTATCATCATCTATCATCTATCAATCTATCTATTTATCTATCATCTATCTTTCTATCTATCATCTATCTATCATCAATCTATCTATCTATCTATCTATCTATCTATCTATCTATCTATCTATCTATCTATCTATCTATCTATCATCTCTATAATCTATCTTCTATATATCTTCTATTAATCACCTATTTATCTCTCCTTCTCTACTGTGATTGAAAGAATACCAGCAATTCCTCCTCCCTTCTTTATGAGATGATGATTGTCGGTCAGCAACAGGCCAGTCCTTTTTGCTCACAACGAAGAAAAAAAATGTCCAGAAAGAAAAGGTCCTCAGCCCAATTTTCATCAGGCTCATTCCAAGAACTGCTTTGTTTTCTTAATGTGCAAGGGGGACGGGGGTGTAAATTGTCTCCTGGATGCTTATTCAAAGAGAATTAAATAGCATGCAATCAGCAACCCCCGAATGGCTTCTCTGCATCTCAAAGAAAGTAGCTTTTAATTAAGGCTTAGCCAAGAGGCACCTCCTTTTGGTCCAGTTGACTAAACACAATCCAACTCTTCATAGTGGCGTAGACATCAAAGGACATCAAAGAGCAGTTCAGGTTGATCTTGAACCCTCTGTCATTTCATTTTATGTATTTTAACTGTCAAAGCTGGAGAATTGGCTGGATGTTATTGCTTTTCAGAAGTTCCCATGACCTTTTCAGAGTTCAGGAATTGACCTCTCTGGTCATGATTTAACAAATCAGCTTTCCAATTTCATGGCGTCTTTGCCTTGCTCTTCTCTTGATATTTGGGAATAGGGCAGAGCAGCTGTTCCAGTTCAACTTTAATTATTTTTATCAAACATGTTAATTGCTTTTCTCATTACACCCCTTTATAGCACAAAGTAGAGCTTCGATCCAGAATCAATGCTGTCTTCAAATCATATTGTGGAATTAATGTGGCTACAACCACTTCAAATAGCATCGTCTTGAAAATTATAAAATTAGGAGTACATTAAATCCATAATATGAAGTCCCAGGTTGTTGGGACAATATACTGACTCTATAAACTGCTTAGAGAGGCCTGTAAAGCATTGTGAAGCAGTATAAAAGTCTAATTTCTATTCTATTCTATTCTATTCTATTCTATTCTATTCTACTCTATTCTATTCTATTCTACGCTACCCTACCCTACCCTACCCTTCTCTACTCTACTCTACTCTACTCTACTCTACTGCCATGGTGGCACAGTGGTTAGAATAAAGAATTGCAGGCAAACTCTGCCCACTGCCAAGAGTTTGATCCTAACTGGCTCAAGCTTGACTCAACCTTCTATCCTTCCGAGGTCGGTAAAATGAGGACCCAGATTGTTGGGAGAAAGAGGCTGATCTTGTAAACTGCTTAGAGAGAGCTGTAAAGCACCACGAAGCAGTATATAAGTCTAAGGGCTATTGCTAATATGGATTGTTGTTTTCTTTTGGGATGTTCTTATCTGCTTGGGTTTTTTTTAATGATTTGGTCAAGTTTTGATTTGTTTAGGTCCATCTAGAAATAAACACATGACCATGTCTTAAAATCATAAAACTTGGGAATATTCAGTTGCACAGTTGTGGCATGAAGTCACAACGATATATACCTAGGTCTTCTGGCCCTCGGATATTAACTTTACTAAATAAAAAAGCAGATTTTTTTGGGGGGGGGGGTGAAGAACTCACCCATTGCATGAACCAGAGTCCTGTAAAGATATTTCTTGATTTAACAACAATCCATTTAACAAATATCCCACACCCATAGTTGTCAACAGGAAAGGTGGCAGAGACGCAAGACATGATCATGTTGTATTAAGGAACTATTTCACTTGGTAACCATTACCCACCTATGGTGAAACACCTGGGAAAACTCCAAACCCTTGTTTTCCAGATTTTGGAAGGTACCAGTGATAACACAGGCAAAACAGCACAATTTCTTCCTGAGAAATTCTTCGTGGAATTTTGAATTTTGCAAACATGGAAATAATTTTTTGATAGGAAAAAGAGGGAAGGGAAAACGTCTAAGGGAAACTCTCTGAAGACAATTTGTGTGTGTTGAGTAGTGATTAAATGTCCATGCAGATTCTCCAGGTCATGGTTATCCCAAAGATGCTTTTATCAAGAGGCAACTGGACTTTCTTGTTTTTTCTTGGAAGATGTTTCACTTCTCATCCAAGAAGCTTCTTTAGTTCTTTGGGACTTCAATTCTTCAGAACTTCTTCAGAACTGAAGAAGCTTCTTGAATAAGAAGGTAAATGTCTTCAAAGGAAAACAAAGAAAGCCCTTGGTTCTGTTGATTATACAGATTTGGTGTTATAGGAATGGCTAGTTATATATTAACGTGTAAAAGCAAAAACTGGAGATTGGAGTGTGTTTATCTTGTACTGTGCCAGGAAGAGTCAGAAGCCATTGCCCCCTTTCCCTTTCCCTCCCTTAATTTCCTATTTCCTTTGCTTCTTTGCATTTTATATAATAAAAAAGGGGAAAAAAAGAACAAACGAAAAAAAGGCCAGTTGCCTCTTGAAAAAGCACCCTTGGGACTAGAGATTAAATGTTGGCTATCTAAAGAAGAAAGACAACAGGGAGACAGGAATGAACTGAGGAGAAATTGAATGACAGAGAAATATGTCCGATTCTTCTGCTGTTTCTTCACAGCTACACATTGTACACATGAACATCAAATACAAAACCGTCAGTGAAGCTAAGCAACATCCAAATGGACTCGCTGTTCTGAGTTTCCTGTTCAAGGTACGATCCTCAGAATACGATTGCCATTATGTTAAAGTGTCATCATGAAAAAAGCTTATGAAGTTTTGGGATGCAGTTCCTTCAGTCTTGGCTTTTGTAGGCTGTGACAGGAACTTTTTCAGTTTTTTTTTGTTTTCCAATTCCTTCCTCCATTCTAGCTGCTAAGTTCTAATGAAACAACATGAATCAGAGAAGCACGATTCATCTTGAATTTCTTTGATTAGAATAGAAGGTCAGGATCGAACGGCGGGATCCTTGGTGCTATTCTGGGCTTGGTGGTTTGCCTGGAGATATTTCATCACCCAACTAGGTGACATCATCAGTGCTAGGGAATGGGGATAATGTTGTCTGCAAGCAAACCCCCAAGCTCAGAGTGTACCACGGATCCCACATTTCTTTTGATTAGGTTTAATATCCAGAAATAAAGGATTGGGATTCTTTGGATCGATTTTAATGTGATGTCCATCTGCTGCTACCTTTGGGTGGACAGCTTCAAGAACTGCTTGTTTTGTTGTGGTTATTATTATTATTTAAACCAGAGTTGGGGGAAAAAACCAGCTTTTCAGACAACAGATTGTCCTCTGTAGAGGACCATAGATGCCCACCTACTTTTTCTACCTTTGGCTACCTTGCAGGTTATAGATCTGTCTTCTTCTCATTATCATGTAGATAGCAGACACCGATAACACGAATTACAACACCATTGTTGCCAGCCTGAGAAACATCTCTCGTGCAGGTAAGCATCTTACCTGTGCCCTGGAAGACGAATGCTTCTTCTGCCTATGGCTCATGAAAGCAGCTATGTCTTTTTCCCCCCGGAGTGCCTGGATGCTGTTTGGGAGGCTTCAACTGCAGCCACACAAACCTTGAATAAGATGCAGCTGCTTTCATGAGACACAACATTATTGGTGCTCCTGCATATCCCGAAGTGGGTTTTCAGAACAGAGTAAGATTTCTGAGGTGGGGGGGGGGGAAGATGGGGACCCCAATTCCTAGCTCAAATTTGTTGTCATGAGTCCTTTTAGTAACTTGAGGAGCTGTAGTCCTATTGGGTGGCCAAATCAATTGGAAGCCCTCGTGTCTTCGGAGATTCTGAGGTAAGAACATCACATCTTGTATACTTTCTGTGAATGAGAATATACTGTACTATGGAGTGTCTGTCACACAAACTGCGTTAACTTCCTTTCATCTTATCCTGCACCAATCCAGAATGGAGCTGCTTCTTCTCCACTACCCAATCATGGTTATCCTTTTGCCTAGGGGAATACGTCGACATGGCGTCCACCTTTTCCTTGAGCAATCTTCTCCCCAGCTTAGCTTCATTATCCAAATATTACCGCTACAAAGGGTCTCTCACCACACCAAACTGCGATGAAGCGGTCATCTGGACAGTATTTGAAGAGCAGATTCCAATCAGCAGATCCCAGGTAACAACCACTCTTCCCCCATCCTCACATTCAAAGTTGGTCTTTTCCATCCCCAACCACCACTATCCACATTTCACTGTTGTCAAATGGACACATGTACAGAAATATTGGGCTGGCTGTAGAGCACTCCTCCCATTCTCTTTCTCTCTTTCCATTTGTTTTAGCTGAATATATTTGTGGACGTCACATACTTCAAAAGTTCAGCTGGGACACCCCAGAAAATGATCAACAATTTCCGTCCTTTACAGCTTCTTGGTGGCCGCACCGTCTATGCTTCCCGCGATGCCACCATCAGCTGTGGCTCTTCTCTTGTTGCCAATTTACTTCTTCCTCTGCTCTTGTCTTCTTTGATTGGCCAATTCTCTGGTTCCTCCTAGCTGCCTGGGCTCAACTGTGAATCCATTGTAGATCTGTGGTACCTTCCTAGTTGTGGTTCTTCATTGTGATGCTTCCCTATCTGAGCTGAACGAGGCACAAGTCCAGATCATGGAGCACTTGATGGATTTGTGAGAAAGAGCTCCGGGGACAATTGTATTGCGATCAAAGGCATCCGATTCCTGACTGCCACCATAAATGGGACCAGCAACGAGACAAGAAAGGTGGAAAGCTTTCATGTTGGCCGTTGGACGGGAGGTCCACACACCAAGCAGAAGAGGGGCACGCAAGTTACCTTCTGCCAGCACAGAAAATGAAGTCCTAAATGATGTAAATTGAGGTTCTAAATGAATAAATTCAGAGTTCTTAATTTTTCCACGATGGGGCTGACTCCCTTTCATTCTTTCCAGCCACCAGCTGAGACCATTGGTGACACCAGAAATGAACCCCTAGAAACAAAACACGGAAGCGGGTTGCTGTTCTACCTTTTCACCAAGGTCACTGAGGCAGTGGGGAAGGGGGGGGGTTGTCCCTCTCTACCACCCCAAAATTCCAATCCAAGAAGAGCCATGAGGACACCCGAAACAAGCTTCATAAGCGTCTCGAGTTGAATCCCATCAAAACCATGGATTGTAATCTACCTCAGGGACCTCACCCTCGAATTGTAGACCCTGCACTCCATAGAAAATGGACTCCTGGGAAGGGCGGGGCAGGGCAGTTGGGGCCAGCCGGTCAGTTGAAATATCGGTTCGATGAACCAGATGTAACTTTAACATCCGGTTCTCCCAAACCGGTCCGAACCGGTAGAATCCCACCTCTGCACTGAGCCACCATTCAGTGTTTATATGTCCGTCTGTTCTCCCTATAATTCTACCATCTCTCTGGCATTTCTTCCTCCCTTAATATAGGAATAAATCACATGATGCCACGCACACTTAAATTTGTTGATGAGAAACCTGGAGGTGGCCCTCCAGCTGTTGTGGGACTCCAGAGCCTATCCTGGGATGGAGGATGCTAGCTTTTGTAGTCCAGCAACATCCGAAACGATTTCAAGATTCCTCCTGAGGCTGCAGAGAAATCTAATGTTGAAATGGGGAGGCGTTTTCTGTTTTATTTTAAATGCACTGTATGGATACTGTAGATGTGTACGAAGCACTTTCCTTATTCCCTGCAGAACCTTTCACCAATTGCATCCTTTGAGGGCTGATCTAATTCACTCCATCCCTGAAATTCATCACTCGTCTTGCGGTGCAGCCCAGCTCTTCCCTGCAGCTCAATTTTCAAAAGGGTTTTGAGCAGAAAATCCCACGGGGGTGTTGTTGTTGTTGAACCCATCTATAGATCAGCCCCTGACCCTCTGCATAATTGCTCAGGAAACAGAGAATCGAAGTCCGCTGAGTTGTTGTTTTATTTTTATTATTTTCTAGAAATAGCAAACCTATTAAGAAGAGACATGAGCGTCCCTTTCTCTTGGTCTTAATTATAGATTTAAATTTAGCCCCAAGGAAAATGTGGTTAACGTTAGCTTTGGGAGAAGCCATTGCCTTCTCTTTACGCATGAGTAAAACAAAGCCAATACTTGTGCGAAGGGGCACTCTATAAAGGCTGTTTTGATTTATTGATTGCTAATTCAAGACCCCTCATTCTGTTGAAATTCTATCCTGTGAATAGGATGTGGCTTGAAAGCATGGGTTGGGACTAGGATATCACTAGATCCATGCATTAATGCTGTGTTGGTAGTCGAGAGATAATCCTTGATTTATAACTACTTGTTTAGTGGCCATTTGAAATTAGAACAGCATTGAAAAAAATGATTTGTGGCTAGAATAGAATAGAATGTAAAATAGAATATAATGTAAAATAGAATAGAGTAGAATAAGAGCAGAACGGAATGGAACAGAACAGAACAGAATAGAATAGAATAGAATAGAAAATATGGAATGGGAAGGGTTGGGAAGAGTTGGGTTGGGTTGGGGTTGGGATAGAATGGAATGGAATAGAATAGAATAGAATAGAATAGAATAGAATAGAATAGAATAGA